ATGGCGAAAGAGTTACGCGTCGAGGAATACGTATAGCGTTCGAAACGGTATATGAAGCGTATATCTCTCTCTTTCTCTGGAGCGGCCGACGTGAAAACGTAACGAAATGATGGCGGAACACGCGAGTCGAGACGAGGTGACCACCAACCTCGACTTATCGCACGGCTTTCCGAGATGGTACAAAATGCGACCGACCCAATTCGAAAGAAAGGAGAGAATGGAAAGTGGAGGAGCGAAAAGGAGGAAGATATTGAGGAGAGAGAGAGAGAGGGAGAGAGAGGTTTGGTACGGGCAGGAAAGAGAAAAGCAGTTTGCCAAGGAGCATCGAAGCCGGTGAAAAAGGTGTTAGAGAAGCCCGTCACGTTTTGGCCGGCGTGAAAAGCATCCCTGCAAAGGAAAGGAAAACGAGGGAAAAGCGAGAGCCCTCGTTAGCCGTTCTGTTATTATTTCGATTCTGGGTCGATCGTTCGATCAGCGCCGCAAAAGAAACCTCCGTTAAGAGAAGATCGGTACACGACGTGTCGTTAACCATTCATTTGTACGTAGGGAAATGAGGCTCGTTGCTTCCATGGTGAATCGTTTCTCCCCTCTTCTATTATCCCCTCGTTTTTATATATAATATAATTCGAGGGAAAAAAATTCCGTAATTTTACGCGTGTATAATCGCAATAATCTTTATCTTAAAAGGAAAAGGAAATTGTCTTGAAAAGTTTTTATGTATTATGTAAAATTGTAATTAGATCTGTATATCTAATTACAATTTTAAAAAACTTTCCACTGTGATATTATTCGTGAAATTACATTTGAAATAATATTGGAATGAATATTGGATAAAAATAATATATTGGAAATACTCGAAGATTGATTTCACTTTCATCATTATCGTGGTGTAAAACAAAATTATTATCGGTTTTTCTTCTCGAAATTTTCTTCGCGTGTATCAATAATAATAATTATTAATAATTTTGCCACGTTTTTCCACGAACGTGGCAAGTAAAAGTATTGATATTTTTTTCTTTTAAATTACGTCGAATTGAATCCATGTCTACTATCCTGCTACACTGTTAAAATATAATAGGGAACCGAAACTTGGTTAATGAACGAAATACGATCCACTCGAAGGGTTGTCAAGAGATATCGTTTAATAATGTTAATTATTCTTCGTTCGATCGAGGGTTTGATTTAAAACGTCGTAGTTGAAAGGATTCCAGAGGACTGGGATTATCTTCACGGCAGAAGAATAAATCAAACGTGACGAGATTAAAATATTTATATCGTAAATTTTCGAGCGATAAAATATTCTTTTGAAAATTTCGCGCCAATTTTGACACCTGCTTGTTACGTGGAAACACCGTTTAATTCGGTGGATATGGAAAATTTGTCCTTGTTCCAATCGTAATATACGAATATATACGTTTTATCTCTTTCCACGTTGTCCAAATTTTATACAATTCGGTTAATTAAGTCTCGATACCCGCGATCAAAAATAATACGTCAATTCTATTACGGAAAAATTCTTATCTCAATTTTTAATCTTTTCGAGCTGATCAAATTATAATCCTCTGAATAGTTCAGAAATAATTCGACAGATTAAGTTTTTTGAAAATTCCCCGCTCGAAATTAAATTTCCAAAAAATTCCTCTCTATTTATCCAAAACTTTCAAACCTCCCTTAAATCCGAATACCCTTATTCCCGATGACAAATTAAATTTCTGAAAATTTAATCTCTCTTAATCCCTCAAACGTTGGGAATCTCCAACTTTTAACTTAACTTTCCGATTTAAAACGTCAAAACATTTACAAAAGATCGTGTTCGATTCGTAATTCCCCCTTTTTTCTTAATTTTGATCAAGATTCTCCCTCTCTCTCTCGTGATTTATGAGAATGGACAGATGACGGTCGCGTGCACGGAAGGAGACTGACAATCGCGATTACACAAGCTTCGTACCCTTTGCACGCGTTTTAGCAGCAGAGACATAAATCAGTTGGCGTTGTCGACGCGTGTGTAACACGCACGAACGTGGACGGAGGAGAATATCACCACGTGCCAATGGGGATGGGTGTGTATATCCGGTGAACTCTCTGCCGCCACCGAAGTAATCAGGTTTATCTCGTGGTTGCACACAGGGACAGGTACCAGTCGGTGACCGCTAGCACGTTGCGCCGTTTACGAACGCCGTTGCCAAGTGCGGTGACACCGCCTCGACTCGGTTGTCCGCCATTCATATTCCAGTTTAAACTAGAAATTAAGCGCGAAAAATTACAATCTTACTCTCCCAACTTTCCCTATTTTTTTTTTTTTCGCGTCCACGAGTTTAAATTTATAACGATTATAAGGATTTAATCGCAAGTTTTAATCAATCAAATTTATTTATTATTATTACGCAGTCGAATAAATTGATATTCAAATTTAAACTCGTAAATACGAAAAATTAGAATCGTGATCATAATTTTCAATATTTTTCGTGTTTTAAAGTGTGAAACTTGTGAATCGAAATTATACATATCATAAATAATATGAGATGTGAATCAAATTGAGAATATCGAAAGTTTATTTAAAATGTTTGCGTACAAATGATCAGCAGCCATTAGGTAATTTAATTCTCCAGAGTACACACGTTAGGTACGAGGATTCGTATCACGACCTATGGAAGAACAACATTTCGTTTGGCATCGGTGGAAATAGATTCTGGGTTTAGTTGTGACAATCAGTGCGATGATGCACGTTTCGAATTTTGATATTTAGTGAATTATGAACGATCGCGAAATTAACCGAATCTTTTAAAGGATGGATGAATTATAAACGAGGCGCAAAATGTTATTATATTTTAGAAACGAGGAATTAGAAATGAATCATAATACGGAAATTCATATTTAATAAGAATCACGATGCTCTGTTCTCTCGAATTCGTCAATTCGTAAATTATCATTTAATAAATTTGAAATATGGAAAATAATTCATACGCGTAGAATGTTAAGTGAGTTAAATTAAATCGAATTAATTAATAATATCGGGGAATGGACAATCGAAAGCGCTAATTTTCATATTTAATCCAACCTTATTTTGTTTAATATTCTTGATATTATTTCCAATTTATCTATCTCGTTCTCGTTATTTAAAAGATCGATTGAACGTCGGCCATCACCAAGTCGAGTCGAAGATGAAGAATGTTCGCCATACACTTATTACCCGACTGATATTTACAAATCGTATGAATAATGAACCACCATGGGATACGTATTAGTATCCTATTTCAAGGGATACACGATATTTCCCGTTAAACTAACCTCGTTCCCTGCCTGCAAGAAGATAGACTCTATTAACGAAATAGATCCTGGGCCCGATCGAGCCAACTCCTCTACGTGCATTGATGAATCATCAATTTTTACGTCCAGTTTTTTTATACACTCTTCTTTCCTCCCAATTTTAGAAATAAACCATTCTACACATATTTTTACTTTCTAATTTTAATTATTTTTAAAGACGTTTAGAAAAAAAAAGGTATTCCAAATTTTAATAATTTCGAAAATTTCGGATAAGAGTTTCTAAGAAAATTCTGAAAATCAAATTTTTACTGTACAAATTTAATAAAAAAAGAAAAAAAAATCTACGAATCAAAGTATATGAAATTATAATAAGTATATATATATAATACGCGTGAAATATCAGAATTGTAACACGGATAAATGCAGAATCACGCGAGATACTTGGCTAATAGGATAAACCAAAAGGCGCATTAACCTTCGTCTAACCGGATAATTTCTCGTGAAGCGAGAATATTGCGGTTAGATAACGGATGCGTTTGCTCGAATCTGTATGGAATTCTCGAAGATTGGCCTGCTATTGATTATCGGCCGAGAACCTCTTAATCAAACTCAAGTACACGTTCCATTCCGAATGTCCAAGAATTTTCGTATTATGATGTACTCCTAATGAACCAGCGTCACACAAACTTGTCAGCTTCGAAAGACATTCACGATTATTATTATTGAATTGCTGATAAAAATGTTGACGGATGTAGTGGACAAAATTTAATGTTAAATTGAATTATACTTCCGTATAAAATTTATCGTTCGTAAACGTAATAATAATTATGCAAATAAAATTGCGATTGCCAAACGATTACACGAAAGACGGATCAACTATAATAAATACGAATAAATGTTAATGTTCGAGCATTTTAACAATTAATTATTATTAATTACTTAAAGTAACTTTATCATTTTTAAGTAGTTACTTTTTCAACTGGATTAATGCGAGAGCGAAGCGAAGATTAGTAGAATGAGTCGCGCTATGATCGGACATCGAGCTAAGACGAGTACAAGATGTCCATAAATTTCCATTGTATTACACAGGGAAGGAAGAGTAACTCGATATCCGTTCTCGTAATCATTAATGCATAAAAAATCATGGGTTTATATACGATCGCGTTTATTCACCGAGAATTTCGCTTCTCCACCCTTATTTTTTCCCTTACCTTGATTAAAGTCGGTTATTTCTTTAATAAGAGCATTCATTAGTTCTTCCTTTTCTCTTTCCCGGTTTTAATAATATTCCGCGTTTCCATTGCTCGTCTATCAATTTCCCTTATCCTCACGTTTTATGTTTCCACGAACGATTTTTTTTCTTTTTTTCTTCCACAAACTATACATATGCTTATATCACATCCGATTCTATCATATTCCCTCCTTGCGAAATATTCGCGAAAATTTTCGTACGAAAAAAGAAATTCATGGAATGTAAAGTTTAAAAATCAGAATTTCGATTGAAAATATTTTAGTTTAGTTTAATATTTCTTACGTTAACTGTTACGAAGTTAGATTTGAAATTTCTCAAATTTCTCTTGATTGATATGTTGACAAGAAAATTGTTCCATACAATCCATATACCGTTTCAATATATAAAACAAAATTAGACAAAACACAACTTACTTTGTTCAATTCGTATAATAAGATGTAGAAGCACATCCTCTGCGGTTGACGTTCTTTTCTCGAACGGGCGAAATATGACCCAAGTTTCCTCTCCTCTTTCTTCCCTCACCCTTCCCTCCAGTCAAAGATCCGAGGAACAGCCTAGGGAATTTCTTGTTTTCGACGGTAAACTTCAATCAACGATACCCGATTCCTCGCAACGAAACGATTTACGGAGTCAGATAAACGTCCCCGCGAACAATGCTCGTCGTAAATCACGTCCTTCCCGAATATATTGATGCACTCGACGCCATTGGATGAGAAAGTGGATGAAAGTGGATCGACCACCGCCAGCTTTTCAGAAAGCTGCTTCTCCTCTCTTGATTCACGAGTTCTGCTTTTCACCCCTCTGCTTATCCCTCCGTCTCTCTCCCCCTCGTATCCCCTCCCTCCCTTTTCACGGACTCGATTAATCCTCCATTCCACCCCTGTCGCTTCGAGTCGTTTTTTTTTTTTTTTTTTCGAAAGCGCGTCACTCTTTTCGACTCGAATTTCGTTAATTACTCGTCTATTACGGGGGGAGGGAAACGTCCCCTTCTCCCTCCCGAAACAGGGATGAAACGAATCTTGTTATGACGCGTGGCTAATTTCGAGTATTGATCGAGAATTTCGAAAAAAAATCCGAGATTTTTCGAAATTTCTCTTCTTCCTCTTGTAAACGAAGAATTGAAATTCTCTTAAAAGCAGATTTCACACACGCGTAATTTTCCATTCCTCCATCGAATGGAAGAAGTTTGTCGTTGATTATTAAAAATTATTTCCATTCTGTCTTTTTTTCTTTCAAGGAAGATTTATTGTGTATCTCACCGCGTTGTATTAAGGAGGGGGAGGAGGGATAATTATAAGGTAATAGAACGAGGGATGAAAAATAGAAATTTTATTCACAAAACCGCGTAAAGTTCTCGATGGGCCACGCGAAATCTGATAAGGAGGTGCATACCACGAAAAGGGGACACGAAGGAAGGGGGAGCGAAGGGAGCGAGATATGGAAGACGATTAATATCCATCGATTCGATCCGTTCGTGTACAAGGCGGCACGCGGAATGAATCGTATCTAGCTCGCGAGCAGAAACGTAAACGTAGTGTTTGCAAACACTCGAATCCCGTAATATAATATAAATAAAAGTGATTCGTGTTTTGATTGTAAATCCGTAAATTCTAACGAAACTACGGAATATCATATATAATTTTGTATACATATATAAATATACATATATAATATGTATTATATACATTAATTATATATATAATTATATAATTATATAATTTTTAGGAAACTATGTTAATTAAATTTTCGATTTAAAATAATCCTGTCTTTTTTTTTTTTTTTTGCAAATTTTTAATACGTCAAATTTTTCTTTAAAAATCAAATGTCTTCCCTTCGAGTTTTCCATGGTAATATCGATAATTTGACGGAAGGCTCTTAATCAATTACGAAATTAAGAGGAAAGTATCGTGATATATTTAAGGATAGAAATTATATCATACGATTTTGAAGCGAGATTTTAGACAAAGCGAAACGAACTAGGGGTTGGATAGAAACGAAATTCCTGAGGTTTAACGAGAGTTAACACGTGAAATCTCGAATTACAGAATGAAAACTATATTTAACAATAAAATAACAATAACAATTTAACCGCAGAACGACGCCCGTTCAAAACTATTACTCTCAATTCTTTCGAAACCCCTCTTCTCTCTCACCCTCCCCACAACCCACTATTCCACCAACTAACTCGACTAACTCTCGACTAACTCGCGCGCACATCCTTCACAATCATTTAAGCTTGGATACACACACACACATACACACTCCTTCGCTCTGTTTTTCCGTTTCTTTCTCTTCATGTATCCGATGTTTCTGAAACATATTATATATATATATATATATATATATATATATATAATTCCAAATTATCGATGTGTCTTTTTTTTTTC